GAGCAACTTAATACTAACGTTATCAAAAATGTTCCAATGACATTAAAAATACTCGGAAGTTATTTAACTAACTATTTGTAAAGTAGCTGTTTGATCCTGGATATTTTTTTGTTATTTATTCACCGTACCTTAATTCAGTATATGGTAATTCAACATTAAAAATAAATTTGTCACTAAGTAACATAAGCTATTTTTATTAACTCCACGCAGACGAAGTCGCAAGCAACAGCTAGTAATATATTAAAGTAATAATGTTCATTAAAAACTTGGAAAACATAAAATTAAAAGCTTGTGAGAGTGAATTGGATAAATTGGAACGTATTTACTCTGTCCAGATACACTGACGTCGATATTGGTATCTTTAAATTGCTCCCGGCAATCGGAATTTCCAATTTATTTATGTACTACGCGTCCATATATTACTCCGACTAACAGATGCCTGTTCGATCTCAGTTCTATTAAAAAGAATGAACAAAAACTTGAGCTGAAACTTGATACGAGACGCAAGGGAGGTACACGGCTTTGTGCCAAATGTCCAAATGATTGACATAAATGTTTTAAGAATGCTTTTGCAATTTACGGACATCTGTGCCCGGAATTGCTACTATTAATACTAAGTTTAGGCTTTAGACTGTTAAAAACCATGATCTCATACTTCTTTGATTCTTTTTTGTCGCATTAAAAGATTAATTAACTCCTAACATACATAGTTACAATTATACCTATTGAAATAAAACGAACAATAAACTGTTATACTTAATCTTATTCAATATCTATACTAATATTATAAAGAGAAAAGATTTGTATTTTTTGGATTTTTGTACATGTTGAAATAACACAAAAACTACTGGATTAAATTCCAAAAAATTTGCACCATTAAAAAGCTATATTATCACTGAGTAACTTAGGCTGTGTTTTTACAATTTTATGTGTTATATGCAGAAATGTTCTTTAAAGTACTTTAAAGTACTGAATTACAAGCAACAACTGCACGTTCAAACCTATTTCGTTATCTAACTTAGATACCTGGTACTCCAATGAAGATGCTATAAAGTTTAATGTTTGACAATTACAGGCGGCAACCTGCACAGACGATATTGTCTAGACCTGGCGCAGCTCCAAACTGAGACCTAACTTTCACCTCACACCCTGATTGTATGTCTTTCATTGAACAATTTGTAGGCATTACGACCAATCTCCCCTTATTGAACTTCGCAATCTAGTTTTCAACATTTGGGAACAGGATTACGTTTCGTTCAACGCCAGCGAATTTGTTCAGAGTTGATTAAATAAAAAGTACCTATAATTTATACTGAATATCAAAATGTTGTACATACATACAAATATGATCACTGCGTTTTAGGATACAAGATACATTTTACTATAACGATAGGAAAGCATTACCATTTTCTTTAGAAAATAAGATTTTAATCTTTCTAAATCCAGCATAGTCAAAGACAACGATTGTTAAGTTGTCTGAATCAATTTTACACGCGAGCGGATTTTCACAAAGTGACAGCTGTTAAGCGAGTCGTTAGGAAAAGCCGTTGATTCTTGTCAGCCAGGATTTCATTGTCTTCTTCAGATTTAATAATAATTTAAAATTTTAGCTAACATGTTTCTTGTTATTTTACAAAATTGATAAACATAATTTTTTTAATTTAAACTAATAAAAATACTGACAACCATAGATCAATTAAATACAGATTAAATATAAAACGTAAATGCAATAGAGATATAATTTATGTATATAATTGAGTATAACAACTTCAATTGCCTTTTATTTAGTAGCATATATAAATAAATACTTAACGATATATAGATTAATGGAATCACGTAATGATTATTCATATGACATTGCTAAAACATATAAATCAAGCATAGCAAAGCAAAGATAACGTGGCGACATGATTTATTACCACATTAAAATACTATATTTATCATCTTTACTATATGCTTAGCTATTTGTCAGTTCACATTTTTCATATATTAACTTCTAAATATTTATTTAAATCCTCTGTTCAAAGATTGACGATAATTTAATTTTTAATTTTATGGTATTCTTAATGTTGATGCCAGTTTGATTTATCGAATAAATTGTATGCTTTTAAAAGAAGACCATTTATAACTATGTATTTTTTAGAAAAGTTGTAACTATTTTTATAGATTTGAAAATTAAAGTTTGACTATGAATGGCACTCTCAATTGGCAAGTATATTGCACTGATATCCGTAGCTTCGTTTTTTTTTATTGTAAACTTGTTGATTTAGTGCGCGCGCACACCATTGACTAAACTATCGCATAACTGTTTAGTCGCGCAATGATTATTATGAGCTTTTATGGAGCACCCTACTCGATTTTTAGATGTGCAACTAAACTGTTGAATGAGCTGTGAAACAATCGACAATCGCACGATCGCACGAACGCACGACGACAGTTGTGCGATAATTTACTCAAAGGTGTACGCCCGCTCTTCAAGTTCACTATAAAGCTATGATAGGCATTGTAGAATGGGGTAAACAATGTGAAAAGGCGTCGGCGATGGCTGGCGCATTTCCAGCGCAAAGTTTTCCACTTTAAGACCTGATTGCACGTCGCTTATTGAGCAATTTGTTGAAAATTATGCTCCTCGGAACTTACTTCAAATTACACTTCTTAACGTAGTTTCAAAATAATGTAGAATAGGAACTTTTAACGAAGAATTATAGTGTTTCTCAAAATATTTTAGCACTATAGAAATATTGTAACTGAATATTTCTTAACTTACAGCTTTTTAGTCTTTATTTCGTAAGGGGCAAAGTCGGAAATCTTCTGAATAACATTTGAAAATTGTGTATTACATAAATATTATTAGTTTGTCTGTTAGAATTTGCCGCATAAACAGCTGAATCTCAGCTGGATCTCTATGAAATATAGCATTATGAAGAGGAAGTCTGGCTAGTTAACTTTTTTTTAATTCCTTATTATTAACTAATATTTGTTTAATAAGAAAAATGAAATTTAAAGTTACAAATTTTAATTCCTAACTTAACTGCTCCTGCCATCTAGTTTCATACTAACGAAACAAATTTAAGAAATATAATTACATTTAGCAAAAAATTAAAAACCATGTTAGAGTGTTAATTAACAAATAAATCATTTCATTCGAATTTAAACAATCAAATACTATTCAATAATTTGCACTTAACAGTTTCTATTCCTGGATTTCTAGCACACAGTAGTCATCAAAGATTTTCAGTTATTTAATTTATTTGAGTATAAAAATGAATTACGGGATAGTTACGTGGGGTAACGATTTAACAGCGAAGCGTGATTGCGCTAACGAGCGACGTCCGAACAACGGGAAATGATAACGACCTTTATACGTGCTGTATCACGAGTACGGTCAGCAAAAATGCCAGGACGATTACAGGACATTTAATTATTATTTTTGCCTGCGTTATGTGTCTGGCAAGCGAGTAGTGTATGTTCAAAAATAGAACAAATTGACAACATGTATCAAAGCTTGTGTAACCCAAACAATAATTTACAACTGTCAGACATTAATAAAATAAATAATAAATAAACGGAATTACCTTAAACACTCAGGCCACTAACTCCCTAAGAATGGCGTGCTATTCTAATACGACTGAATGACACTGACAGCTGTCATATGGACGCGACGTCTATGCCGATGATCTAGGGTTGTGACGATTTTATTCTTAACACAATAACGACCGAAAAGATACATATATTATCTGTGGTTGTACGGATTATCGTATTGGATAAGCAGCTAATTAAAAGCCGCTATAAAATATAACTACAATTTCCCCTTCAACGACTAATAACATTTTGATATAGTTATTGGAGTTGTGCTTTTCAGGTCAAGGAAAAATCAATTAGATGTTCCTTTATTTACTTAAGGTTTGATATATCTGTAGAGAAATATGCATACGTATTAATACTACAACCAGACACACTTATGTAACTTTAATTTAAAATGCAAGTTTTTCCCTTTTTGCTGACTGCTGTGCAATGACGCATAGTCGAGAACTTAAAAGTTTTCTTGTAGCTTTTATACAGTATAAAGTTAAACTAACATAACTCTCCTACTGTGTACTCTGTAGAATAGTAATAAATTCAGTTGTGCATCGACTTTAAATGTTAGCAAATTTAATTCAAGAATTCACTATGAAGCTAAAAATTAAACATGTCTTATAAATGAGAATTCTTTGAAGGATGGATGGATCGAACATATCTAAATGAAATTTACCCCAGATATTATGTTTTAATTAGTATACATAGGCTACTTACTAAGTTTGTTTTTTTAATTCTGCATAGACGGAGTCGCGGATTTAAGATAGTTGCAAATAATTAAGTACATATTTGTTTTTTATTTACATTATTCAATCATCAACATTATTAGCATTGTTATGTCAATGTCGATAGGTTATTACAATCACAAATAGATAGGTTAATTTTATTATAATATACAGGCTTTATTAAACTGATTGCATCAATGGCAACAATAGAAACGCCTCGATCATTTGAATAAATATTAAACAATAAAATAATCATGTCTCTATTATTCAATGCGTGCTTCATACAAGTAACGATAGATACAAAGTGGATAATAAAATATATTTATAGATAATGTCAAAGCTATCATAGGAACTATGATATCATTCGACCCTCAAATGCATAGCAAGTCAATTAACACGTTATTATACGTTAAATAGGAATAAGGAATAATCGAATACCTAATTTTTTTAACTATTGAGATATTACAAATATACAAATATGATTAAGCCAAAATTGTCATTTCCTTAAGAAAAGGTGAGTTCACGGTTTTCGTTTCGAAGGAAACAAGTTGTACTTATGACAAGCTGTTGCTCGAAATATTACTATTTACATTGCACTTGCGGCTTGTTTATTTAAAAAGTAATTTGTTCAAGTGTCTCTTTTATATTTTTGAAGACTGATAGTCTTAATTTTTTTAATATGTTTTTTTTATATTTCAGGATGTGATTCGTCTGGAAACACAATACTGGTCTCTGGTGGAGATTCCGAAACAAGAGAAAGCGGAGACTGTACCTGCGTTCGTGCTCCGCGCCTGCGCTATCATGGAGAAGACGCAGAAGTCTGGTGAAGGTGTCAAAACTTCCTCCAAGCTCGCTGAGGAAGCCGCTGATCGAAAGGAGAGGATAGAGAGATTGAATGGTACGTACAAATAAATTGATTAACCACTATATTACATAGTAAAATGTAAAAAAAAGACACTACAAACGCCCTACAGTGAGCACTTAACAATAATAGAATCAAATAAACAATCTTATCCAATTATGTTCTAAGCAACTCAAATTTTGAACGACTTCCCAAAAGAAGGTCCTCTATTCGTCTATAAATTTTTTAAGCATATTTTTAGATATTTTAAGTTGATTTAAAAGATAATATTTAAAATTTCAGATATGACTACGTCTCAAATAGAGACAGAGAACACGCAGATGACTAACGACCTCTATCGTCTACTGAAGAAGTACACTGGACTGAGGAACCTCATTAGGGAGCTGAAGGTGAGTAGAAATGCTATTGCATGTGTCAATAAACAATTTCCTAACTTATTCTGTTAGTTCAATATAGTTTTCTAGCTTTAATTTTATTTTTATTTCTGTTAATAATTGTTTTTTTTACAGTCGGATTACGTGAGCTCCAAAGTGTACCCTATGTTCCCGCGATACACAATGCTGAAGGACATGATCAAGGACATTATGCACGACCCCGATTACATGGAAGTCTGCCACGAGGTGGACCCATAGCGCGGGGTGCGCAAATAGTTGAGGAGCTCTTTCACCGACCGCAGGAGGTCGAGTCGCCGCTAGAGCCAACGGGGGCGTAGAGTGGGGGTTAAACCCTCATATTCTGGCTACGCTTGTGTTGGTGACTGTAATTTCTATGCTTGATGTTTCGCTTGGAATTTAAGCTTTATAATGCTTATATAAATGGGTTATAATTAATGTTGGAATGGTAATATATCTCTTAGTGTTTCAACGGATTTGACGCCATTATCTATGCCTTAGATTCCGTGTAGTGCGTTAGTTGGAATAAGTATTTCTAACATTGTGTTTAGATTCATAAATGGTGTTAACATCAAGCAAAGAAAACTACAGACTGCGGTGTTTAGTGAGACGAGTATTCATATTATTTGCGCTCAGTTACGGACTTTGTTTATAGTGTTAAGGTGTGTTTACTTGTTTTGAATGTACTCGTCTTTAAAGTGTTCACTTGCTTACGTTTTTTAACTTGCAATTGGTGATGTTTTATTTGACTTCTGTAATGTAAATCAAACAATCTTAGCACTATGGATGTAACTTAACTTGTAGTTGTGGAATAGGTGAAATTAATTTGCTTTTAGGAGTATGTAAAATGCACATGTATTTTTTAATCGATTTGTTTTATTATCTGTATTTCTGTTGCAGTAAACTTGTACTTATGATCACCCTTCTAATTCCCAGAAAATCATCTTCTTGTATATTTTAATTTATCTAGTCAGTAGTTATAAATTACTAGTAACAATGTAAACTTATCATTTTATTAACATTAGTTGCAATAAATCCTTAAAATTTTGTTAATTAAAAGTATATAATTTTAGCTTGTAAACATTGTTTTTTCTACATTAAGTTAGTAATAAGTAAATGTATTGACGCTATCGCTTATGTAGTTAATTAGTTAATTAATTAATTAGTTTATTAACATATCTGTAACGTATTTAAATAATAAACATATCTTTGCTTATAGTACTTTTCAATGTACTTTCACGTAATTGTATAAATGTGCTGATATTGAAAAATGCCAATGTATGTGTTCAAATGTGAATTAGTGTGTGAACTTGTAAAATTTAATTAAGTTTTATTCAACTAATTATTCCTTAATACTCACGTCTATTTTTTCGATGGCACCGACTAGTTTCGGACCCATCGGTGGTCCATTTTCAGGGCAAGTGTTATTGGATTTTCTTTGAAAGCCCGAAACTGCTACCACCACCAGAAAAATAGACATGAGTGATAAAAATGTGTCACGAAAGTTTAAACAATTTATGTTTTATTTAAATCTTGTGTTATAATATATTTAAAATAATGTTTATTATTATAATTTTAAAGCATGTTAATCATAATTTTTTACAAGATATATAAAGATATGTAGTCATAAATGTGTTTTACCAATCGGTCGTTTATAACATAGATGTTAAGCAAAAATGAAAGCATATAGTGAGGATAATATTTTAGGTTAGAAAATGCGAGTTATATAAAACTATGCAAATATTTCCACAATAAAAATGAACGTAATTACCAAGCTCATGAAAAAGAATATTAAATCTATGAAGTTTTAGATAAAAAGTAATATTTACTCTTTATTTTTAATGACAAAAGAAAGTATGGATGGATTGTGTGAAAGAGGATATGCTTAAGAAAGGGGTAGATTCAGATATGACGGCTGATAGAGATGTATGAAAGAGCAGCACATATTGTGCCGACCCTCCGTAAGGGATAAAGGCATGTTGATTTTAATGACAAAGTTAAATTGTTTAATTTAAATAGATTGTTGACATAAATTTAAATTTTTGGAGTATTTTATTATGAAACAAAATACTGCCATTAGTATAAGTTTTAGGATAAATCATATTGTAATAGATAAATATAACATTACATAGATTTTTTGAATTTACGCTTCAATAATACTAATATTCTCAGTAAGTACTTATTTATTCAATTAAGTATATATTAATTGTACAAGTCACTCTTTATAAGTACCATATTATCTACAATACACATTTTAGAATAAAATTGACTTGCAAACTTGAGCCTGCTATAGACGTTCGATTTTATTGGAGTGTCTAACTGTCAGAACCCAGTGTGTATTGCAGGATTTATTTTTGTTATACAACTTTCTTTTACTTACAATTTACAAGTCTTGTCATCATATTTCTATTAATTTATTAAGCCTTTATTGCCGAAACTAAAAACATTTACGATTGCTGGTAACCCTTAACATAGTTTTTTTTTACAAAATTTTAAGGTAATATATGTTTTTTTCTTTTTATGCTAGACTAGTTGTCGGCGTATCAGCGTCATCATATAACTTTTAAACAATTAATATAATTGTTACTAGCGATATTAATTTAAACACTACTAGAGAACTCGAAAGGAATGCGCGCGAATCATCAATCCTTCTAATGACATTGACAGCTGTAAGTTAGAGATGTGACGTTAATGCCGATAACCTAGTGTTGCGCCAATTCTACAGCGCAGTAATAATCGTTTGTAGACATAATTATAGAAGTGTAAAAGTATGGATGTCCTGTTGTATGTAAACAAATAGGCTTATAGAATATTGTATGAGGTATCGTAATAATGCGAAGTGCGTTTTTAATGTTTAAATGCAGAAGGCTTTGTTATATGTATTAAATATAATAAACTATTATTTATGCTAAATTGATGTTTCATTTTGTATAACATAAGTTACGTGAGATTTTTTAATTTATAGAATAAAAAGTAAAAATCGGAAAAGACTAAAATTGTGCTCAAAACCTGTCAACGCGTTTACGGCATATTCGCACAGCTTTTTCGCAAGGTTGACGGTGATTTCATAACATTTTTACATAAAATGAAGTTTTCAATTAGAATTTCACTTTACAAATGTTTAAGATAAGTTTAAATGCTAAAGCAAAATATTTCAAATCGCTAAACTTAAAAGTTTACAAATTGATTTTTTGTTAAATAGCGCCATCTAGTAGCAACTGTTCTAACTAACAAGACGGATCAAAAGGTAAACTGTTTCATTGTAAGATTTCTTAAAGTTTAAGTAAAATTTAGTCATAATTCATTAATCCGCCAACAGAGGTCGCTAATACAAGGTGCTGAAGTTATTGCCACACTTAAAAGATTCACATAAAATTAAGGAATCTCTTTTAAAATTTCAAATCCAAATAAAATGAATAAAAGAAACGATTTGCTCACGCGTTAACTCTTTAAAACCTCTCTAATTAAGTAAATAGTGCGCAAATTAAATAAAACTTTAATGCTTTGATGCATTGACAAAGTTCTGATTGAATATTGGAATTAATAGTAACTATGTCCAACCTAGTCTTTTTACATTTATTACTTAATAACAAAATGTAACTACAAAAACTGATAGTTTTAAAAATAAATAATTTTACTATTTACTTAGGGAAAAATACAGAGTTATGGTAACACAACACTACGCTCGCTCGTATCGTACGATTCGTCTCATTCATTTCACTCGGCCGGCAAAAGCGGTCTAGAAGTGATGTGTGTTGTAAACGCCTCTTATGGCGGGATGTCGTAAATATGAAAAGTTTCCGTAAAACTTTTATATTACTTTTAAATGAACGAAAAGTGTTATCTTATAACTAAAACTTGACAATATTTCTTATTACTACTTGAAATACCACAGTTTAGTGAAAGTTCACCGGTCAGGATGTCGGTTAATTCAAAGTGGCGGTTACCTGACGTTTTTTGTGTTGTGTGTTGAATGGATGACGGAATTACGTTTAATTCGCAGCGCGGGAATGGGTGAATAAGTGATTCGTGCCTTAGGACTATCGAGATGCCGTTCGTGCAGCGCGTGGTCGAGCCGAAGTTTCTCTCGCGGACGAGTTTGCGTGATGAAGATGGAAGGCCGAAGGTCACTGACGAAGAACTCCAGGCGGTTACGAACTGCACCCTGAGCAATGCACTTCGACAGCTGGCGTCGCTAGTGCTTCTGGCGGAGGATATCTTCAGTGATCTCACGTCTCAACTGCAAGACATAACTGAACGGTCAAAAATTGCTCGGACAAAAATCGAAAAAATCTACGAAAGTGTAGAGAAGTATGACCCGAAGAAAGTACCAGTCCGTAAGTAAAGGTTTAATTTCTATAATAGCCATTCTTGGTTACGGTATCGGTAAAGTGGCAATGGAATTTACAAACATTTACGTTGTGAACTCTCAATGCATTGGGCGTTTGGCCCTTTAAAGCTTACGGTATGCTTATTAGCATAACATATTAGCTGACCTTGTATCTTTCAAGTTAAGCGAACTTTTTCTTTTTGCTTTTTTATTTCTTTTATTACTTTTCTTAAACATATTACCATTTTTTGAAATTAAATCCCTTTAGTTAGATTTTATTACGCTAGTAAAAATAATTTGGTAATTTTTATTATTTGCCATAGGTAAATGGGATGTTTATCCTATTGGTTGTATATTATGTTGAATTTCATATAACATGATAACATACTTGCCTAATTGTTTGTTAAATTAGATCAAAACAACAACGTATTAATGTCAGTCCAAACAAAATTCTTGAATGAAACGAAACTAGGTGGAAGTCGCAATTAATTTGATATTGTTATCTTCATTTTGATAACTTCGCCTAAATAATGACATGCAGTTTGAACAATGTCTAAACAAAACCTAACAATAAACTATGTGCACAGTAAAAATTCATTAGATTTTTTTATTTGTATACGTAAATTGTATTATACACAAAATGGGGGCAAAAAGCAGATTCCTACAGGATTAAGCTGTTTTATCTTCGGATATTTCGGCACAGTTTCAAGCATTATGGTCACGGGCTAACATTTTAACAAATTTTTACCATAGTACAGACACCAGAGACCAACATTATCTTTTTAACTAAGCTTAGTAGTAATTAACCTTTTAATAGATACAAGTCATTTTGTTATTTATAATGCAGAAATATCAATAATGCTTTTATATTACCTGTGAAATTGCTCAAACTTAGAGACCTAAATAAAACTTGTTCAATCAAAACATATGAAGTCTCATAGATGAAGTCAGACTCTATGCGTACATTGATGTTTTTCAACGTGGATATTGTCTTATCTCTCCTTCATCTAATCATAGCCAGTCTAACTACACGAGAAATCGATAACTCGCTTGTAGTTGTCGATTTTTACTTGTTTATCGATTATTTCTCACACGCTTCGAGATGTCACCCGAGTACTGGTCATCAAGGCGATATGTTTACTGTTATAATGTGAACCGCAATGTGCCTTAAGCTATTATATTAATATCGATATAAAGCGGCGTCAGCGCTGGCTCATTGAATTAAACTCATTACATCCTCCTTGAATGTGCCGCCTTTACAAAAACATTCCCGGCTGATGCATTACAGAGCGTTATCTAAAAACCTGTTTGGGCGTTCCGTCGGACCCGCAATGGGAAAAAACATCCAGATTCCAATGCGGACCATAAAAACGTCTCGGCCCGAGATAATTTCAAGCGCGGCCGTGTCTCAAGCGCACCAAACACCAAGTCCTATCCGCTTTTAGGGTTACCAACCCTAGCAAAGTATTGTGTTGGCAACATTATAAAACTTCTCGTTAATTCAGTCTCAAATACTTCATTCGTGATAAATAACATTTTGCAATGCAAATGTATATTTGATTAAGCTTACAAGACGAGAGAAGCCAAATCCACACATCGA